TAACAGTTTTTTACTATAAACCTATTTAAAGTTTCAAATGGCTAAAAATTAAAGTGACAGAGAAACAAACAAAATAGCTGCAAGATTTAGATTTGAATTACTATTTTAGGTATAAAATCCATCAAGTAACATTGCTTTAAACATAATTAAAAATAAATCTTACATGAAGTATCTCTTATAATATTTACAATCTGAGAAATGTCATTAATCTGTTAATTCGATTACTTGGAATTCAATTTTCATTATCGATTTATTCGTAGAAATATCTACAATTCAAGTTCAATAAAAAACACATCATTTTAAATTTTATCAAAATTTTGCCAGATAAAAAAATAATGTAAATTCTTCTCAAGGTATAATGATTGAAAATGATTCGCCTTAGTTTTCTGATAAATTCAAACACGTGCATTAATCAAAATAATCCCAGCAATTATGATGAATTACAATAGTTACCTTCTATCTAATATTTTTATAGAATTTTTATTGCTCGTTCGAATTATTTTCGAACCATTTATATACATATATTTTTTTATATATATTTTAACAGCAATCAGAACCTTACATCCTATGAGCTGTTGGGCTGAAACTTCTCCTTTCTTCGTATTTTTTTAGATGGTAACCCAATGGTTAATCCACCCATATTTGATGATTTTTTGTTATTAGATTTAATCTAATAGGGCTGACTTTTTATTGGTGCAGCAATGCCGGGCAAGGGCTATTTTCACTTGGAAATATATTGCTATCTATATTTCCAAGTGAAAATCGTTGTCACTGCTGCCTGACAACAGGCTGCTCGAAGTAGGTATCGAACCCGGGACCTCTGATTCAGGTCCCGTCGCTCTTAACCGCTTACCTACGGGCGAGTCAATATACATATATGAAATCAAAATTTTCATTTACTCTACCGGTGAAGGGAGAAAATAATTCTGTTTAGCGAATCCATAATACTTTGGTTTGAAATTAACAATACTATTGAAACTAGCTGTAAGTGGAATTCTGTCTTAAGGCAATTAAGGCATCGTGCTTTAAGGCAAATTGCTGGAACTTCCCGTACCAAAAATTATTATTTTTTTAAAAACGGTTAACATTTTTGAAAAAAATTTACTTCGAAAAAATAAGATTTTTGACAAACAATTAGACAAAACATTACTTTTTTTTGAAAAAAAAAAATTTTTTAATTTTTTTTTTTAATTTTTTTTTTTTTGAAAAAAAATGTTTTCTTTATTTTGACATATTTTGAAAGATCTAAACTTTTTTTCAAAGCAATCGTACTGCTTTAACTGCATAAAGACAAAATATCAAACCGCTAAGCGCCGCGTCGACGTCTAACGCGTAAACATTGGTACGGAACCCATAGGAATGTAAACCAAAATTATACTTATTGTTAAAATCTCTATAAAACATCTGATAATTTGATGTGCACATGTCTAATGATAATTTTTGACCGCCAAATGGCATTTTTTTTTACTTTTTTCATTAGATCTCCGAAACCGCTAGACCTGTCTTAATGAAAATTTGATCGGTTCTTCACCTTGTCAATACAAGTAAAATGTTTTTTGAATTATTAAAATCGGACGCTCCGTTCTCTTAAAAACTGAGTTAACGTTTTCGTTACTTTTTGCCCCGTATATTCGGAACGGCTAGACCTGACTTCGCCAAAAACTAATCAGCACGTCTCCTTATCAATACGAATCGAATGTTTTTTGAATTATTCAAATCAGTTGATCGGTGTTCCCGAAATCGTCGACGAAAATTTGTATCCGCACATACATACACACACGCACACACACACACACATCCATTTTTTCTAAGGTATGCCAAAATATTCAGAAACCTTTGAAACGTCGAGAAATGCAAAAATTTTCATTTTCGATTTTTTTGCAATTACTATAACTTGCCCTACGGGAAGTTAATAATAAAGAGTTTATATAAAAAGAATTAGTCCAGTATGAGAGAAATTAAAATTGATGATTTAATGCCTTTTGTTTTTGTACATTGTTCGTAACAAATCCGAATTGTCGTGCATTTTAATATTTAAAGTTCCATTCCGAGTTCTATTTTTTACCAGAAGACTAATATTATATTTTTGTTTGTTTATATGATATATTACAATACTATACTATGTTTGAACAACTGTACTTTTTCCCTTTCGACGTAATTTTAGCTATTAATCCAATTATTTTAATTTTACTTAGAATCTCAAAAAAAAGTTAGTGCAACAATTCAGCGTTTCAAAGCGTTTTTTTCGTTGTATTATAAATACAGAACAGTTTATAAATCCAGCTTACCATATTTTATAAAGTTACAATAAAATATCTACATTATGTTCATAGATTTCAAATTTCGCATATTTCGCATTTTTTGCTCATGATTACTGTATCAGACATGAATGTGCCATAATAAAGTGAACAGTGAATGTTTTCTTGAGCAAAAGAAAGATCGCATAAATGATTTCTATTACCGACAACCATAGTTCAAGCACCGATTTCTAAGCGGTAATGATCTGTAAATTACATTGAAACGAAGAATATAAAACTTTAAAAACTATCATAGAATATTTGACCATATTAGTTATAGTTATTCATTAGGCTGTCATAATAAAGAATTAATAAACTAATAGTGCATGGCATCGTGCCTTAAGGCAAATTACTGAAACTTTCCGTACCATAATTTAACATTTTTAAAAGCTTTATAGTTTTTTGAATACTTAGAATGAGAATTATTTAATTTTTGAAAAACTAGAATTCTTTTATATTTTTATATTTTCGATTTTTTTTTCAAAGCAATCGCGCTGGATAGCCGTTTTAGAGACGAAATATCGAAGCGCGTAACGTCTAACGGTTGAACCTTATAAAATTTGGTACAGAACCAATAGAAATGCAAACAAAATTTGTACTTACATCTAAAATTTTTATAAAATATCTGATAATTTGGTGTGCATATGTCTAATAATCATTTTAACCGCCCATATGTAATTTTTTTTTGTATTCTTATAATTCTTTTTTTTCTTGTATTTCTGAAACCGCTAGACCTGCCCTCGCAAAAATTTTACCAGTTGTTCTGATGTCAAATAACAAAAGTTGTTCATTTCGTCAAAACAAATAAAATGGTTTTTGGATCATTCAAATCGGACGCTCCGTTCTCTCACAAACTGAATTACCATTTTTGGCACTTTTTGCTCCGGTTCTTATAATTAGAAACGGCTGCACTATCTTTGGCCAAAATCAGCACTTCTTTCGGTCAATAGGAATCGAATTTTTTTAAATCATTTAAATCCATGTTCTCAAAATTGTTGACAAAAAATTGTATCGGCACACACATACATCCATTTTTTGTAACAAGGTATGCCAAAATGTTCAGAAGACTTTGAAAGGTAAATAATGCAAGAATTTTCATTTTCTACTTTTAACAATTACTTTAATTTACCACATGGAAAGTTTATAAAAATTATCTAATATAGAAATAAAATTTTATTTCTGTATGCAAATATAATATACAAATACATTTACATTATTCTACGGAATTATATTCAATTTAACGTTTATAATATAACTATTATTATAAACTATAAAAAAGAATTGTATACAAACGGTTTCTTATCTCTCAACCTTGAATTAAAATAGCTGATAAAATATAATTTTTGGTGTAAGCGTTTTGTTAGATAAATAACTTTATAGCTGAAAATTATGTTTAGGTTGAATTAAAATCGATAAAATTGCAATAACGTGCAGTTTTAACGCAATACGAATTTGATACTGTAGTCATAAAGATATAAGTTTGCATAATTTCGAAAATGCTGAGCAAAAAAATCTGACAGCGGTGGGATTCGAACCCACGCCCTTTCGGACTGGTGCCTAAAACCAGCGCCTTAGACCGCTCGGCCACGCTGCCTTGCGAAATACTCTTCTACTTGTATATACTATATTACATGGTCCCACTTGATAAACCGTCACAGACTACGAATTTATAGATTATTGAAATTCAATTTAGATTTATCATTATTTTAAATACTTTCAATGGAATTTTATTTATACATGAAAATATTTAATATTATTTTGTAGATTTTAATATTAGAAATTTCTGACTTAAGAATTGTGAATCTATGACTTTAAAATAAGTAATGATTTAAGAGTCGAATTATTGTGCTATTATCGTTTGGGTTAGTTTTGAAAAATGTACAAATTAAAATTACATAATTATTTTTATTTAGTATATTCGGTGTGTCTATTGATATCTAATCAAAATGTTATACTTTTCTTGTTATAACCATTTCTGCTCATTGTTTTCTTTAACAGATACCAAAATAAATAAATTATAAAAATATTTAGTACATTGTATATAATTTTTTAACATTGAGAAGAGAAAACCAAGATTATGCTTATTTACGAACATGTTTTTAATTCAATGTATTTTTAACTTAACGTAGCGTAAGTTATGATAATTGCAAAAAAAAAAAAATAAAATGAAAAGTGGACAAGGCAGGTCCAGCCGTTTTGAAGTGCCAAAAATGGTAATTCAGTTCTTGAGAGAACGGAGCGGTCGATTTCAATCATTCTTGAAGGCGGGTCTAGCGGTTTTGGAGAACGAATAAAACAAAAGTAAAAAAAAAAATCCCATTTGGCCGACAAAATGATTACTGGATATATGAGCATCAATTTATCGGATATTTTATAGAAATTTTAATAATAACTAATTTTGTTTACATTTCTATGGGTTCCGTACCAATAATTATCCGTTGGACTGCGACGCGGCGCTTTGATATTTTTTCTCTAAAACAGCTACGGACCACGATTGTTTAAAAAAAAAATCAAAGTTTTCAAAAAAAAAAAATTAATTTATATTAAATATAAATATATATATTCTTATTTAATTATAAAAGAATTTCAAATTTTTCATAAACGGTAATTAAAAATAAAAAAAAATCAAAATTCTCATTTGTTTAGTTTTCAAAAAGCGTGAGCCCGCGAGCTGTCTAGGTTTTCGATAGTCTGCGTCGTTGTGGGTTGAGTAGAGTGGCGATGGTAATAGCACAACACATTTCAGTTTCTGTCAAAGTGAAACGTCAAGCGAAATACAAAATGCAATTAGTCGTGACTTTCGCTCGGCACCGTGATGTGTGTTTTCGGGAGATAGTCAATTTTATAATCGAACAAAATACGGCATGTATTAAATGAAACAAAAAAACAAATTTTATAAATAACATACAAAATGTCACGACTAGAGGAGATAAGAAATAGGTTAGAAACACACAAGCAACAACATTTACTGCAGTTTTGGGACGAATTAAACGATGTTGAACGCGATGAACTTATCCAAGACATCGATGAATTGAATTTGGAAGAAGTTAATTTGTATTTTGAGAGAGCGTCATCGGATTTGGGCGATATTAATGGAAAGTTAGATGATCTACTTAAACCGATTCCTAGTGACCAATATGAATCCGTTGACACGACAGATCCCGCGCAAATTCAAACATATTATGAAGAAGGTTTGAAACAAATATCGCAGAACAGGGTCGGAGTGCTGTTGATGGCGGGCGGACAAGGCACAAGGCTTGGATTTTCCTCTCCCAAAGGTATGTACAAGGTTGGTCTACCCAGTCAAAAATCTCTGTTTCAAATTCAAGCTGAGAGAATACGACGGCTGCAGCAACTCGCTTATAAACAAACAGGTATCGAAGGGAATATTACATGGTATATAATGACGAGTGAACACACTATGCACCCCACGATGGATTACTTCGAAAGCAATGATTACTTTGGCCTAGAAAGGTCAAATGTAATAATGTTTGAACAAGGAAGTATGCCCTGTTTTGACTTCGAAGGTAAAATAATCTTGGACCAGAAACACAGACTCGCCATGGCCCCAGATGGCAACGGAGGTTTGTACCGTGCTCTTCGAGACAGAGGAATTTTAGATGATATAGAACGAAGAAATGTACATTTTTTGCACACACACAGTGTGGATAATATATTGATTAAAGTTGCAGACCCTGTATTTGTTGGTTATTGTTCTTTAAATAATGCGGATTGCGCAAATAAAGTTGTTGAAAAAACTTCTCCAACCGAAGCCATTGGTGTCGTCTGCAAAGTGGATGGTAAGTATCAAGTCGTTGAATACAGTGAAATAAGTTCTGAAACCGCGCATTTGAGAAATAAAGACGGTCGCCTTACATTTAGTGCTGGAAATATTTGCAATCATTTATTTTCTGCACCCTTTCTACGAAAGGTGGCAAACATTCATGAGGCAAAACTAAAGTTGCATGTTGCCAAGAAAAAGATTCCTTACGTTGATAATTCAGGTCATAGAATAACACCAGATAAGCCAAATGGTATCAAAATTGAAAAGTTTGTGTTCGATGTTTTTGAGTTTGCAGAAAATTTCTTAGCATTTGGAGTTAAACGGGATGTTGAATTTAGTGCTTTGAAGAATTCAGATAGTGCTGGAAAAGACTGTCCTTCGACAGCAAAAGCAGATCTTTTGAGACTGCATAAAAACTACATTGAACAAGCTGGTGGAGAAGTACTCGATTATTGTGAAATATCTCCTTTAGTCACTTATGCCGGTGAGGACTTGGAAAATCTCGTAAGAAATAAAATAGTCAGCAATCAAATTGTTGCTGCATCAGAAGAAATAATTTTAACCAATGGTAATCATTGATTGATTGACTGAACATTTTAAAAACAAATTTTATATTCTATATTTTTATATTCTATTTATTTAAACTATTTTACAATTTTTATCATATTTATGCATTTTATCTACACATTTTTTTACATGACTGTTTTTAATCGTCACAATATTTTTATTGTAAATTTGTAAATAATTACGAAACTCGTACTTACAAAAATTTTTATATTGTAGTTTATTATTGTGATAAATGATGTGTATGGACATCGAAAGAAATGTACAAAAATGATATATTTGTAATAACAAATTTTAATTATATCGCAAATTTTAATTGAGAAAACTATATCATGTAGTATAATTTAAATATAAATAATATATTAATATTTTCTTGAGCAGATTGCATCATACTTTACAATTGATGGGTTTCTAAAGTGTTTGTATATATTAATCACTGTTTTGTATATATTGATGATAGTTGAAATGTTTTAATACTTAATAATCCACTATTTGGTGCTTTATCATTTTATTGTAAAATATATTTTTAATTTTCAGTTTGTATTTTAGACTTACTTATTATGAAAATTTGATGCAGTTTAGCTTTTATTTTAAATAATATTAATCTAAACTCTATTTTAAAACATTATATTGTATTACATAGATTTTAATTTATAAATCTTTAAGGGGTGTGGCAATATTATAAAAGGTGGTGGTAAAAATATTCCTCGTATCTAGGTTATATTTAGTATATTATTTAATTGCAATAAGACTTATTAAACACTACTTGAAAATTCACGTTTCTAAAACGAACACACCACTGCCTGAATAGTTTAAATATTATTTCAATGTTCCATTTATAACTTTTTATAAAGAATAAATGCATTGTAAAATAATAAAGATTTGAAACAAGTGTTTGAAATTTCAATATCATGGTAATACTAATTCCTCTAAAAAAATATTTTATAATTATTGAACTAATTGTGCAAATCATCACATTCTATATATTGTTAAATATTTGAATGATTGCTGCATTGTAAGTTATGCAATAAGCAGCTTGCCTTTATGAAACATTGTGGTTTAGAAAGTTGTTTGATATTTTATTTTATTTCAAAGCCCAATAAGAAATATTGAATAAAAATGTTTTGCCATCAGCATTATTCCATTAGGATATATAAATTTGATAATTTAGGAATTACGTAATTTATTTTAAGTATTGATTTCAATTTTTCCTATTTCCTTTCTCTGTCATAAATTAATATACATTTCCGAACCACTTTGTTACCAATTAATTAAATATATTGGATACTGTACCTGTTCCACGCAATGTGATTGCTATTGTTTGTAATTTGTTACAATTTTATGCTTTTTTTGAATAGCAGTCATAACGTAATAATTCAATCAGCTGTTGTAATAAATATCCTTTCTTAAAAATATAGCATTTCAGAAGTCAACACAACGGTTGGCCTATATATATTTGATAAATTTTTATGATTAGAATTTTTTGAATACTGATAATATATTTTAATTTGATGCAGTGATGCCGCAGAAGGGCTATTATCACTTGGAAACATATTTCCATATATATTCTCAAGTATAAAGCGATATCAGACTGTCCGAGGTGGACATCGAACTTGAACATTCTGGTTGAAAAGCCGAAGCTCTTACCACTGAGCAACAGAGAAGACCTATTAATAGGTAAGGTCGAATAATATGCACAAACAGATATTTTTTTATGTATTATTTGAACAGCGATCAGAAATTCTATGGCCATATAAGCTGTTGTGATTGGACTTAGCTACGTCGTTTTTAGATGACAACTTTAATAGTTATTAGTTATCTCTATGTGATGAATTTGGTTATTACAATTTCTGCAATACAATTGATCGTTCGAGTAATGCAAAGGTTTTGTTCGGGTTTTTGTGCCTGGATGGCGTCAACTAACAAAGCACCAACCTTCTTACATGCTTAATTTATAAAGTTTGATTCGTATGCACTTCCGAAAATAATTCGATCGTTTGGCAGTTATCCTTTTTATCGAAAAGATGATATATTAATTTTTGAAGAAAAATATTTGTACATGTGCTTATAGTAATAAACATCATGTATGAAAATTGATTAGTTTTTCGCTGCATATATTAGAGTTTTAAAAAATGACTTAATATTCATTTCTAAAAGAATAAATTGTTAGCGCACATTAACAAAGAAAATATGTTATAGTAATTTATAACAAAAAGCACAAAATATATAAACGTGGATTGGATTTCAAGAATATGTAATTCCATTCAATCATGCTTGAATAGTTGCATGTGTCTATTTATACTTTTTTTTTTAAATGAATTTGGAAGTTTTTTTTAGTATTATTATATATATATATATATATATATATATATATTAGGGCGGGTCGATTTGTATGGGTAAAAAAAAGTCACATAGGCACATACGATTGTCGTATACTAGGGATCAAAATAAGATACTTTGCCGAAGAAACCATATCTCTAAAATGAATTCTGATGTCCCGTGCATTCACCCAAAGATTGGGTCAAATTTTAAAAAATCCTGTTTTGCTCATTTAGAGCGCCTCAATAATGTTCAAATGTATGACCGACCCCCAGTCACTTTGGAAGGCCGATCTATCCATGCCCATGGTTTACCCCCTGGGACCTCCCCATACAAAAGTTGAATCGTTTTGGGTACTTCAACATGACAAAAATCTGCGATTTATTTTTATTATAAAATTTATTTAATTATAGGATATGTAAATAAAACTGTGTAAAACTCATAAACTATTGTTTGAAGTCTTTTTTAGTTTCAAGTCTGGAAAATTTTGCACGGCTCTCTAATATCGTCGCCGTAACAGCCCCTAGCTGGTAGAGAAGCGCAGAGACAAATGGAAAAATTGAAACAAAAAAGAATTTTAACAATTTTTTTTTGTTAAAAAGTTTTTTGTGTATGCATGAATAAATATCTGAAAAAAATGTTAAAAAAAACATTTTTTGCAGTGTAATACCAAAAACGATGATTTTTTGCAATATTTGTATGGGAGACTTTTAAGGGGGTTTCAGGGGGTTAACCATCGGCATGGGTGGATCGGTCTACCAAAGTTAGTTGGGGTTTGTTATACATTTGAACGCGATTGGAGCACTCTAAATGGATTAAAACGGAATTTTTCAAAATTCAATCCCTATCTTTGGGTCAATGCACGGGACATCAGAATTCATTTTAGATGTATGGTTTTTTCAGCAAAGTATCTTATTTTTCAGCAAATTATCTTAATCTACAAAGTCATAATTTTTAATAAATGAATTTGATATGTTTTGATATGATAATTTTTACCTTTCCCCTAAATAAACAAAATATTTTATATTGTATCTAAGTTTGCAAACGAATCACTCTAATTAATATCCTATTATTTTTTTTTTGCCTGAGATTTATAGATAAGCAAATTTTTAGGTATGCTCTTGAATTTATTTGTGAAAGGTGTTCAAGAAATAATATTAACAGTCTAATTTAATCTAACTGTAATCAAATGAGTTTCTAATTCAGTCAGGAGCTATTTATTCAAAGGTTCAAACATGTCAAGTTTGATAATTGATTGTATGATGGCGCTACAATTTCTTAAATAAAGTTTCAATTTGCGACTGCGCCTGCGTTGCATTTACTAACAATACGTTTGTGGGCGTATCTTTGCGATACATTCAAGTGTAAAGATAGATCTTACTTGAAAATTTCTTTGTATTTGCTCATTTTATAATCGTTTTTCAAAATTGGTTATTTGCCGTTAAAAATAATAGTTGTGAAAAAAAGCATTTTTAATGCTGGACTTTGCCGTAAACTAGACCAATGTTATGGCAAGGCTATGTTACGTTCCAATTTTCATACAAAATGTTGTTAAAATGCCATGTGATCAGGTGTTTTGCACATAAAATGCAACTTCACTCATATGTTATCAAGCATATCTAACAGATCCAGTTATGGTAACATAGTTTTTTTAGACATTTTTGCATTTTGTATGTTAGATTTTCTATCTAAAACGCCTGTCTGCACAGCAACCACATAAGATTTTGAGCGTTTTTAGAACCACTTTATATGAAAACTGCTACATAACATAGTCTTGCCATAACATTGGTCTATTTTACGGCAAAATCCGTCCCTTAGTTCGCTTTTAATTCAGGTATTTGCCACCGTTTTATAAAATTGATATAATAAATTATTATTAAAAATACTCTATGTATAATATACACTTATCAATAATATATTTTTGAATATACATTAAATTACTATTGTTCCACAGAGGGATAAATATTTTATATAAAATAGTATTATAATTAAAGGATAGTATTTGATTCATATACTAACGTGCTTATAATATTTGTTTAAAAAATGTTAAGATCCTAATATTCATATATCAAAATGCATATCGCAGTGATTCTATTTATATATATATATATATATATATATATATATATAGATTAAACAATTCAACACATATTATACAAAAATTATCAAAAAATATTTTAAATTCTAATAGTGAATGAATGTAGTTAAAGTAAACGTGCTTGCTTAGATAATAACTTATAATATAGATTATAATTTTCTTATGAAATTGATTATTCGTTTGACTCTAGTTTGATAAAACATTTATAGTTTCATATTAACAATTGACAGAAATTTGAAAATTTCAAATTATTCCTCGATTTCAAATTACAATCGTTTATTATTTCTATTTCTAATATTTGTATTAATTTAATATTTGTTTCTAGAGCTAAAAAGTTCGAGTAAACTGCATTAAGACAAAATTGCATATTTTCATTGTTTATTATAATAATTATTTATTTCTTTGATTAGCATTTTCTTAAGGACTTTTTACACACATTGTATGATTACTACTAGAAGCGTAAAAATATGAAGTAATTCGTGACTTATATTTGGTTATGAATGTCAATTAATAACTTGCATGCATTTTCTATTATCTCTTGCTAATTTTTAGACTAATCTTTCTAGAAGGATAAAGCTAAAAGACTACACGATAGAAAAATAATGCTTATATTAGGGCTATTCTATTTGATTTTAATAAATACTAATATTAATAATATTTTTTTATTTTTGTTATTATTTGAGTAGCAATCAGAACTTAAGAGTCCTATAAGCTGTTGTGCTGATTTTACTTAATACTACGTCGGTTTTACAGATAGTAACCCAAACAGTTGTCCCATCTTTGTGTGTTAAATTATTATTACAATTTCTGTAATAAAGCGAATATTTATTGACTTAGCAATGTCAAATGATAGCTATAATTCCAAGCGTGAATCGATGTCACTAATGTTTGAAATCAGGCTGCTCGATGTATCTCGGGACCCCGTCGCTCTATCCGCTTACCTACGAGCCCCAATTAATAATGATATTAGATACTTTATACATACATACATTCTCAGTAATGTTAGAAAAACGCCTGGTGAAAAACAAAAAAATTAAATATTTTTTAATAATTGTGATTAATTAAGATTTCAAATGACTTTCTGAATAGTATATATCTTCATTCTGTACCTAGAAACAGAAACGCAGAAACTTTTTACCTAAATTATTTTATTATATAAATTTTATTACACTTTATAAATTTTATTTTGATTACATTTAATGAAGATTTATGATCACTAATATTAACTATTAATTTCCCCTAAAATTTATATTTTATATTTAAATTGGAGGCGTAACGGTTAACGTGCGGCCTAGTGTGGACGGAGCGTGAATCGGGCAGCAGCAATGTTCATTTTTACTTGAAAATATAGATCAAAAATATGTTTCCAATTTAAAATAAGCACATTTCGAACACTGCGGTGTGAAATGGAAATAGGAAATCTTTCATATGCTTCTTCTCTAAATCTATTTGAAGTTCAAATTCATTTATACACTAATAATTTATCATCTCCAAGCTAAAAATAAATAAGTATAGGTTTAGAATTTTTTGTTGTATTCTACTTAGTAATAGTAAAACCATACTATATACTATACTACCTGAAATAAAAATTAACAGTGGTGCTGTGTTTAACCATCGCAAGGTTTCGGACTGAAATACGCGTTATCGGCAACCTAATATAAGTACACTGGGGCCTCGCTTTACGGCCTAGATACGTTCCGCAAAACTTGGCCGTAAAGCGAAAAGCCGTATGACGAATCAATTATTCTAATACGTATTCATACAAATTCAATGGGATCGGTTCCAAATTTAATAAATATATAATATGGTTTATGCATTTATGGTTTATGCAAAATGCATTTTATTTTTTTATTTTGTTTAAATTATAAACATATTTAACAAGAACATAAATTTTACATAAAATAAAAAACTTCAAAAACATTCCATAATTTTTAAATAAAAATGAAACAACTAAAACCTACAGATCACTGTCACCATCATTTTGCGCTGGTGGTTTGAAAAATTTGTCTAAAGTTGTTTGTTTTGCCTTCTTGTCTATTTCTTCCTCTAATGATCTATAACAGCTAATGGCTGAGTTAATTCCTCTAGACACATTAGCGTTATGTTCAACGTCAGGATCGTTTTCAAGGAGGATGTTTATTCCTTGTTCAAAATATGAAAAAGCGCTCGACATGATTTTTGATGTTAGCTGTTTGGATACAACAGGTTCCGTATCTTCATCATATGCCGGCACTGCTTGCAACTGAATGAGTTCCTCATATGAAAGGGGTTCCCTATCAGCTGTAAGTAGATCCAGTACAACAGATTCGTTTAAATCTTGAAAACCGAGATAATGTGCTAAATCCAAAATGTTTTGTCTAACTTCAGGAAGGATATTAACTTCTGCATCGGTATTTTTTATACATTCTGGCCATATTTTTTTTTCCAAACATGGTTCATTGTTGTCGATTTCAATTTCTTCCAGGATTCACTAATGTTCTCAACAGCATCCTTTATATTATAGTTTTTCCAAAACGTTTGAAACTTTGAAACGTAAAGATATATAAGAATTTTCATTTTCGATTTTTTTGCGATTACTGTAACTTGCCCTACGCGAAGTTAAAAAAGCCGTTATAGCAAAACATTTTAGGCCGTATATCGAAAACGTTCCTTAATTAAAGAGGGCCGTTATAGCGAAAGGCCGTATAAAGAGCGGCCGTATAGCGAGGCCTGGGTGTAGTGATATCCATTATCATCAGATCCAAAATATATTTCCAAGTGAAAATAGCCCTAACTTTTGCTAAGGCACTACTGTATAAAAAGAACGTTTTGAATAGAATTGGATCTGAATGTATGTGAAAAACCAAAGTGATAAAAATTTTAATGGATATATGCGGAACGTAAAATAATAAAATGTGAAATAAAATTGAGTATAAAATTAAAATAATATGTGTGACTGAATGCTCTAGTAAGGCCGATTAAAATTAGTTGTATATGGCAATTTGCAAAAACTTTAATAAGTTCTTTTGCGTTTATATAGTCAATAAACGTTTTCAAATTTTGATAAATTATTGTTATTAAACCACTTGTCGTAGGACTAGAGTATTTTATAATGTTCTTTAAGACCATGAACCGCATCACCATACAAAGTTTCATAAAAATCGTCAAAAAATAATTTTCAACAATACATTACGAAACAACAGCCTAGCTGTTCACTAAAACTATTTCACTATTCACCACGATTTCCAACTGATATCTTTCAAACGGGTTTTGAATTTTCAATATCGGTTCAGGATTTTTTGCGAAAACGTGAATGAAAAATTTTGCGCTTTCCTTTTCGTAACGGTTTGGCCCAATATACCGAAAAACTAAACTGTAAACGGCGAAATTTTGGTTCTTATACACAGATACATACTATTTTCAATTTTCATATCAAACGATTCAGCATGACTCTAAATGTCGAGAAAAAATAAAAAAAATTTCAAGGAGTTTAAAAAGTCCGATAATATATAATATTACTAATATATAAAAATATATACACAATGGTGGATTTACTGTAGAGGCGGTCGGGGATAGTGCCCAAGGCAGCAAATTTTCTAGGGCTAAAATTTGGAAAGTAAAAAAAAATTATACTATACAATTCTTCTTAATAACTTGTTTTATTTCAAGAAATATAATTTTTAATTGCATTATGTTTCAAATAAAATTTTTGTATATTATAATTGCGAAAATTTAAGTGAAAACTATCAAAATAGTTTAATTTTATTTCCAGGGAGATTTAAAAATATAATATTTATTTTTTTATTTTTGGGAATTAATAAATTTCTTTCAAAAAATCAAAAATGTTTTCAAATTATTCATGTCTTTTTAAGAATAGACTTCAATTGAATAATTATCCGATAACACTAATTAATTTTAATTTAAAAGAACAATAACAAATTAGGAAAATTTTTATTAATACATTTTCTGTGGTCAAATAGTTATTCTCATTTTAGAAAAATAAGTAAGTAACTATTTAAGTAAAATTTCAGTGATAGGGCGGCATTTTTGTCAGTATCTCGGGCGGCATAAATTTAAATTTGGCACTGTATATATTATAATTTAAAAAAAAGATATAGTTAAAGACAAACATCTGTTTCATAATTTAATAATAATATCATATTAACCCTAGAACGGTATCTGCAATAATAAATGATGTAGGTACTTTTGCTATGGAAATTTTGCAAATATAAAAACACTATTTATTACTAAATCAGAGTTTTATATTTTTTGAAATAACCTTTGATGATATCACAAAGTATACAATGACAAAAGATGAATAAAAAATCACTTGTTAATCACAATACCATTCTAGGGTTAAGCTAGGGTTTTTTTAGTTTATATATTTTGCCATTGTCTTCTGCAGGTTCTAAATCTGCAAAAAACATGTGTAAGGACAACTTGGTTTTGTGTTGTTTCACATAAATTATACTCCTTACTTTAAACTTAAGTTTCTTTAATTCATTTTTTATTTCGTTAGTCTCATATGTAAGGTGTATATTTTTTATCACGATTTTATAAGACCGTTCCTGGATTATCTGATATACTACATTTTTTGTTTTAAAGAACTTGATTACAGCCCTGTATTGATCTGGTAAATTAGTATTTATTCTGGCGATGTTATTTGGCATAGATTTAAGTATATATTCATTTTCTTCTACGATTTTATTTAAATCACTTTTCATATCCGGGAAGTCTGTAATACCGTACACAAATATTGGTGGTGGTCTTTGTATTTTTGTAGTAGTCATTGTGATGTTTTCATTAGTTCGATTAACTATATTGCAGTTTGATGTTTCTGTTCTCGAACTTAATATGTCAAATCTATTTGATTGATTGCATTTTCAAATGAATTGTTTGATGAGGTTTGCCTACACTTAGAAGTTTTACTTGTTGACTTTACGACTTGTCATGAGACAGTAGGCTTAAGGTACAACTCAGTATCTTCAATGTTATCATTCATCTTAGAACGTAAGGCCACATGTATTTTTTTTGATAATGTGTTTCCTGATTTGGCTCTGTAGAAGCTGTTGTACCCCCAATTATGGGTGCACATAAACTTTAGTTATCGTAAGTAAATTTATCTTAGAGCAATAATTAATAAATTATGGTAATTTTATAAATTTATTCAAACCCAGTTATGTTAAACATACGTAAAAAAAGTTCACTGTTTCAATTTATGTAACAAATATATATTTTAAACTAGTGGGGTGTGTGGCATCGTGCCTTAAGGCAAATTGCTGGAACTTCCCGTACCGTAACGAAATGCTCGAGGAATATTAAATGTTTTGAAATAGATTATTATAAATATTGTAACATTGTCTAATATTTATAAGAATTATATAAACTTAATTGCAAAGTTGAAATTATTTGTTTAAAATATATTAGAACTATAGTCAGAAATAAAAATTAAATCTGAATTATTTTCGATATACAGAAAATGAAAAAAAAAATTAAAAAAAAATTGAAACAATTTTTTTTCCAAAATCAATGATTTTGTTAAGACAAGCAGAAAGTTCTTTGAATCAATTAAATGGGACGCTTAGTTCTTTCAAAAACTGCCATTTTTTGCCTGCCTTTGCAAAAAACTAATAACCACTTCTCCCAATCATTACTAATTGAATGTTTTTTAGATCATTCAAATCGTATGTTCCGTTCTCTCAAAAACTCGATTTTTTATTTTCTTTCTGCTCTTTATTCCGTAACTGCTGGACCTGCCTCTGCAAAAAACTAATCTGCACATCTCCCTATCAATAGGAATCGAATGTTTTTTGAACCATTCAAATCGGTTGATCCGTACGCCGAAAACGTGGACGAAAAATTGTATCCATACATACATACACACACACACACATTCATTTTTTCTGAAGTATGCCAAAATGTTCAGAAACCTTCAAAACGTCGAGAAATGTAAAAATTTTCAATTTTGATTTTGGCCCATTACAATAACTTACCTACGGAAGTTATAAATATTTTTACTCTTTTTTTATAATATCAATTATTTTATTCAATTATATTATTTAAAACTATTTACAGAGATAACTTTCATATTAAGTTGTAATCTAATTTCGAATAAAGAACAATGTAGAAATTTTAAGAGAAATAATGAACTGCAACGAGTTTTGTATCCTCGATAAGACAATTAATTAGCTGTTTGGATAGTCCTCCGTTTACTATCACCATTGCGATTTGATGTGTTTTTATATACCGGACGATATTGATTTCCAAGTTGGTATTGTGAAGAGCGGTATAGCGGTATGATATCTATGGTTCGTGCGTCAGTTCTCTGCCAGCAGCCGGCAGTGCAAGGTCTAATAAGTCGTACGTCGATTTTTTCGTGAGAATGGATGCTAGACCACGTGTTTAAAAGACATTTCATCCAAATTGAATGAAAAGTTTATTTTCAGTCCTATACAGTATCGTGTTTGAGTTTATCAACAAATTATAAAATGCTATTTTAACAAGTGATTTATATAAAATGGAGTCCTTTATATATAACATTTTATCATTAGGACAGTGTTGTTTCAGTTTAGTTTATTTAGTTTAATAAGTGTTAAATAAGTAATAAAAATTAGTGCAACAAAAAAGGTTGGCGCGATGGCAGCAGACGTCAAAGTATCGAAACCTGCCCGGTGTGCCTTGGACAAAAATGAGTGTGTGAATGTGCAGGATTTATTAATTTCCTTTAATTCTCCATTAAACGAGGAACACATTTGGGCTCTGTGCCATCAGTGTGTGAAATGTTACATGGATTTTTTTAATAATAAGCCTGAGAGGGACGAAGGTTCTGATCAGCAGAAAGTGCCGGTGCTGGTATCGGCTCTAAGCCACATCAAATTGCATAGAGAAGGCACAGTGCACGAGGATACTATTTTTCCAGAAAATGAAAGCGGTAAGTGATATCGTTTTTCAAGGAAATTTTTTCAATTTTTTTAAAACTTATTTACATGCACTTATTTACGTGCATAAGATTTGTTCTGTATATAAAATACTCTTTCCGCCAACCATTCTTATTGACCTGCATCAGGATTTTTTTTTCAATTGTAACTTCAGTTCTGAATCGACGATCATCTCGTGTTTAATGTTTTTGCACAAATGTTTATAAAATCATGTGCAAATTTCTTTAAATCGAACCAATATTTATTAAACGCATGATTAACATATTAACCATATGTTAATTTAAATTTATAATAAAATTAAAAATGAAAATATACAAATGAGATGTAATAACTCTGCCGATGTACTTGACATTATTTAATATATCATATAAATAAATACAAAACTTTATTATATTCATTGTGCACGTCTCTGATTGATATTAATACAATCATTCAATTATATAGTAAAAAAAATTGTATATTGGGATCAAATATAATTTGTTATATTGGAAATAATGAATTGAAAACTTCTAATTTATAAACAACCATCTACATATAAATATTAGGATATGGTAGGATCAGGGTCTAGGAGTTGGTTGAGAAGGTTCAGTAAGAAATAATATTACCTATTATTTAAACATAATTAGAATACTTTATTGCTTAATTATGAAATTCATAACCTTGCAATTGTGGTACCAAAACATGTCTTCAGTTATTTTACTTGGCATCAGACATAACAATTTTTGCTATTCATGGTTGAATACTAATTCCTATAATCCCTTTATTCTTTTATCTTCACCGCCATAATTTTTAATTGTTGATTCTTTGTTTGATTAGAGAATGCTGTTTTTGCCGTTTTTGCCGTTTGTTTACATTGCAGGTGTCAAACCTATCGGTTACTCATAGCCCAAAAGTCTTTTATTCTGGCAATAACACTTTGTTTGTACATGCAAATAAACACTTGCGAATATCGATTTCAATCTATTGTGATTATTTCGCACTGATAATATAGGGTCGGTCTTGTCAGTAAATATGTCGCAAAATATAAGTGGCAGATTCTGGGTAAGAAACCTCGAATTACCAGAATCTATTTATCAAGTTGTATGAAGACATTTGTTAATTGTTTGTTGCTCCGCTGCTTCTTGCACCAGAATTTAGAAGTCTTAAAAAATTATGGCCTATTAACTTGATACAATAAATTGTATCGACTGGTAATTACCCACTAGGGTAAATACTATCTATAATTAGATGTAAATAATGTATACCAAAATAATTTATAGAATTTATTTATATAGAAGACAACAAAAATTGTTAATTGTTGTTAATCATTAAAACTTTATTTATTCAAAACTAAATAGAGCTACACGTGATAACTGATTTTAAATTTTCATTTCAATCTTTTAAATAATTATTATATTTTAAATTATATATTATATTCGAAATCATTACTGACAAGAATAGTAAAATTACAATTTTTCCATTTTATAAAAATAAGTAGCAAAAAATGCATTATAGGGTTTTAATGATTTTTTAAAGAGGATTTTAATGTACAAAGCTCGAAAACACAAATTTGATCTTGAATTAATGTTAAAATGCAAATAACAGATTGCATTGAAAGATAGATATTTAAATCCATTGACTTATATTTTAAAAACATTTTATCACAACTGCACGTCTATGTAAAAAAGGGATATACTTCATGAATCTTTGAATATAGATTTTATAATTTTTTTCAATAAAAGATGATTTGATTTTTTTTACTTTCATTATTCGCTGTTAAAAATTTACAAAATTCTGGCATGTTTATTAAATATTTTTGTAGCATTTGTCATTCTGAGATCTTTTTCATTATAATTTGACCTCTCTGACGGATCTGTCCAAATATGGAATTTTTTTGAGCCTTGGACATATAATTGTTGTGATATTATATAATTGTAGTCGATACATTCATTTAAATACTTACAATTAGAAAAATTATTGTTTGTGATTTTTGTGATATTTTTGCCACATAATTAATATTATTTAGAATTAAAGTAATAGTTATGTGAATTTATTATACTTTAAATAATTATTTTGTTATCTCGAAATGAAGATAGATATTCATGTTGTAAATTCATAGAATGTATTTTTTTCATATTAAATGTAATGAAAATCTTACAAAAATAAAAACAAAAACAATTAGGAAAAATTTTATATTTTGGAGAGATCTAATTTAAATATTTAAATTCCAAGATTATAAATGATTATTTTAGTAAAGTTTTAGTCTATCTTAGTATAAATAAATACAAAAATTTTCTCCCACAGATATAATTATTGATAATCAAACGCATATTTCAAACTTACGAAAATGAAACTCCTCTGCTCATTCGCACTCTTAATAATGCATATGCCAATCAAATTTTGGAAACGCTAATAAACAATCTTTGCTAAAACATTTACACCCGATGAAAAGTGCTTTTAGTAATAATTTCTTTATGATTGAAAGCGCAATTAATTAATATCAGAACAGGTCATTAACAGCAGTGCCAGTCAAGTTGAAGTTTAAAATTTTAAAATGTCCTGATTTTTATTTAATTGTGATACGGTTTTCGTGGGAGCAGAACCTTTTTGGGCGTGTTTCACGTAGACAACAAATGAATCAGAATTTCAAACATCTCGTTATTCGATGGGGTGCTCTCGCACCGTGACGGAATTTGTTCGAGTCACTTTAGTATCGTGTGAAAAGCAAATTATTTGTAAATATACTGCTTATAAATATACTTTACTTACTTAATCGCTTTTTTATTACAAAAAAAAGTTTCTGAATAGCTTTTGCATCTTTCATGTTGGTCGATTTTTCATAAAACCATAGCTGTTTTATTTCATTATATAAAAATTAAATTAAAACTAAAATAACATCTTGATGTTTTAATAGTTGATTCCATATTTTTCAATATTTTCCATACAAGATCAATATTCGACTTATGCCCCAAGATACTGGGATCAAGTAGATCGAAGTCCGTTATAACTTAAGAATTAATATCAAAAACAATTTTCTAATTAAAAATAACCTTTTTGAAGTCTGGTGTGGACAGAAGTATTCAAAATCAATTTGATAAAATTTTAATATATATATAGTTAGTAATAGCATCATACTCAGACGTCTAATCAATGAATGGGCATTCTATTTAGACACTTTATAAGTAGGACTAAAAATTTGCTAAACTGCAATTGAATAACTGGTAAACAAGAAAGTTGTGCGAACTAAACACATTGTTCACTCACAAAATTAATTGGCCGATTCTGCCGTAAAATGGACCAGTGGTATGGCAAGGTTATACGTTACGTTTCAGTTTTCATACAAAATGCTACCAAATATTGTCAAAATGTCATGTATTTGCTGTTCAGGTGTTTCACACATAAAAGGCAACTTCACTCATATGTTAGCAAGCCAGATCTTAAAGATCCAGTTATGATAACATTGTTTTTTTGACATTGGTGCATTTTCTAGGTTGTTTTTTTATCTAAAACGCATGGACTGTGCAGCAACCACCTAGGATTTGACAGTTTTTAGTACTACTTTATATGAAAACTGCTACATAACTTAACCTTGCCATAACATTGGTCTATTTTGCAGATTGCAGTATCGGCCCCTAAACTTACTGACCCAGATATATCAACTACTACTGATGCTATAATTATTAAAATTTTTGTCAAAAAATTTAACATGGGGTTCGATCCTAACTTCGGTCTAACTCAATATCAGGCAGCATATTCAAATTTTGAAATTATTCTAATGACATCGATGAATTTGTTTAAAAAATGTAAGATATTTTACATTACATGAATAGAGTACGGACTGCATGATAAATTTTATGAATAATATATATTTTGGCGCTGGATAACACAATATATTTTTATTATCATCTATTATTATGGCGTACTAAATTAGAATTTTGTTACGATTTTTTAAAGTTATTAAATACCTCTCTCCCATAAGTCGTAAGTAACTTGTTTTTTTTTTGTAATATTGATTCAATCAATAGCATATTCTTTAAATGCGAATTGATTGAACTACAGTAAATACTAATTTAATAGCTCAGCCATAAAACCGTAGATTCGTATAAGAAGCGTAACAGCCTAACGAATCAATTTAATTGCATTACGCTTTGATATAAAATAGTGAGTTATATTCTCTGACCTCGTGTTTTCATTACTGCTATTTCATGATAGTAATACCAAAATTATTTCACTATTATTACTGTAAACAAATATTTTATTTGAGCAATAAATTTTATTAGATTTGTGTGAACCCTAACATATTAAATATCTTTATCTTAAATATCTAGTCTCGGTGTAGTAATAGTAGTAATAATAAATTCCAAATATTTACACTTCTATATATTATTTTTCAATATATTGGAATGAAAAATATCTTGGTAATATAACTTAACATTAAATCAATTAATTAGGTAAATAATATTGTATATTATAAAAATATATTATACATAAACTAGATGTTGTAAATAGAAAAAACATGATGTAAAGAAATTCGGTATATATATTTGTTTACGTAAATATTCTAATATTTTGCATAAATTAGTATAACAAAATTATATAAGCAATAAAAATGAATGCGTATCTATAATTACTATACTTTTTTTTTTTAAACTTATATTTGTCGTCCCCGTTTTTTTTTTAAATTTCTTTTTATATGTATGAATTTAATCAATTTCGAAATTAATTCTTAGATTAATTTATTCGAAAATCGATGCAACTTTACTCATTATTGTGTTTAAAACATATAGAGCACAAACTATCGCAAACTAACTAAAACTGACAATCTGCAACTGTTTGAATCAGTTGCAGCTCGTCAGTTTTGGTCACTTTCTGCTTGGATGGAACAAACTCATAGAAAATCCAGCTTCTTTTCAGAAAATGATCCAAAATTGCGAAATAATATAATTGTTTATTGTTCACGTGGACACCGTTTACTATATTTTTTAGTCATACATCACATTTCATATAATTGCAT